TTTTTTTTTTTTAAGATTTATTTATTCGTTCATACAGAACTGGGGTATGGGTCAGAGGCTCAGAGGCTCAGGGGCGGCGAGAGGCTTCACCAGAGTGGGAGGCAGAACAGGCAGACCCACACAGTACACTGCTGAGGGGAGCAGCGGGCAGGCCAGGAGAGGTCTGCCACACCTTGCGGTGACCTCTGGGGCAGGCGGGAATCGAACTCATGCTTAAGTGGCTTTAGCTTCTCAGTGCTGTGCTTTATCCCGCTGCGCCACCAGGGAGGGCCAAGTCTTGACTTTTTTTGAGGGAAAACTAGAACAAAAGCAAATAACAGCAAAATGAGAGAAAGAAAACCTCCAAGGTCAAATAGCATAGATTTTTTATATTATTATTATTATTTTGTTTTAAATCTCAAGAGTAGATAAGAGTATTGTTGGAACTTTTTAGATCCTAAGAGTTGCAGTGAGTGTAGTAGGTTACTTGGGTAGGACTGACATTGGAGTGAATTATTGCTTTCTTTTAAATCTTGGAAGTTTATTATGCTTTCAATGCTCAATTTACAGCTTTTGAAAGAAGTCTTGGCTCTATGGAGTTTGGAAAGAGAAAGGTGGAGTTTGAGGGTGATGGCTGATTATGCCATTATCTAGATTAGATATTTTGCTCATTTTTCATGTCTTTTGGCCTTAGGAGTGTTGGAAGAGTAACATTATAAGGGCATTTATTAAGCATACTTACTGTAATAAACTTAATATTTGTTTAACAGTGTATATGAGATTGTAATTATGAATTAAATTAGAATATAATTTATATAATATAAAAACATAACATTCTGACATGAAATAAATCCAGATCTTTCATGTTATGATTGCCTAAACATAAGCAATTTTAGGCAACGTAGGTACAGAGACCTACTAAAAAGAACTGATGATAGCATTTTGCAGTTCCTGAAGGAGTAAGTCAGGGAGTCCTTATTCACAGGGCATAAAAAATAACTAACTTGTACCATAATTGGTTCTCTATTTGAAATAAGCTAGGTAGCTTGGACCACCTTGTGAACTTAAGCTGGCCTGATGTTTCCTGATGTGTCCAAAGCTACACAAATTTGATTGGGGGAGGGAAATCTTCCTTGATAGAAAGGTCTCTCAACCTAGGCATTTTTGACATTTTGGGCCAGGTAATTCTTTCTTTGGGGACTACATTGTGCATTGGATAACATCCTACTGAAAAGGCCTCTATTCAATAGGTACAAGTAGGTAGCAGTAGTTGTGAATACCAGAATTTCTTAGATACTGATAAATGTCCTTTGGATTAGAGGAGGAGGTACAAAAATCACCATGGTTGAAGCCACTCTATTGTAGCTTACATTTCTAAAAAAAAAAAAAAAAAAAAATACTACTTATGCTCTTCAAATAAAATAATAAAGTAGATTTGTAGTCAAAAGTACAGGCATAGCTCATTTTTTTGCTATTTGCTTTATTGAACATTGCAGATATTGAATTCTTTACAAGACCTTCCACCACCAAAACTTTTTTAGCAATAAAGTATTCTTAAATTGTTGTATATATGTGTGTGTTTTTATAGGCATACC